ACAAATTGGGAGGGGAGAATCAAAGCCAACTTAAAGGGTTAGAGATGCACTTTTTAAGAGTGACAAAACTATAAGTCAAGAAGGCCAAGTGGATTCTTAGGATTTATTGGGCTATTATGTTATCTTAAAAAAGAATTTAAGGTAACTAACCAAGTGGAGCTTGACTTAGCCTAGGAAAATAAATTTTTTGGTGCAAAATCGATATGCAATGTAATTAGTCATGAAATGAAAGATAATGTATTATATTGCCATTTTTCATGAAAAATTTTGTTTTTGGGGGGTTTTTTTTTTAAGGAAAGTAGATATAATTGATTATAAAAAAAAATCAGTTATATTAGTATAATCACTTATTTCTCAATCTAATAAATTATGTTGCAAAAACAATGCATTATCTTTTATTCCATAACCAATTACATTGTACCTCAATTTTTGTATTAAAAAATTTATTTTTCTTAGCCAAGCCGAGCTTCATTTTAGTTACCTACCTCAAATTCTCTTTCTAAGTAACATGGTAACCAAACAGCCCCTAATGTTTGCTAGTTATGGCTGCACTATATATTGGTGTTCTTTGCAAGGATTGTAGGTGGAAAGATGCAGAGGTTTTGTTGAATGTGATGATCAAGTGAGGGTTTGAACCTTCTATCACTATCCACAATATGATCTCTAGAGACAGAAATTCCACAAAGCTGAAGCATTAGAATTTTCTGTTAGTTTTGTTAATTAAAATTCTATTATGATAATAAATTTGATTTGAAGAAAGGGGTAAAAATTCTTTTATTTAGTTAACAGAAAGTTTAAAAGAGAGAAGAGTTTACTTGAATAAAAGGAGGAAAGATGAGAGAAATGAATAGATATCATATCCTTCCATTCTCCTTTCCTTTCTTTTTTTCTTTTTTTTTTTAACAAAAAAAATTACAATGTTAGCTTAGTATCTATTCGAAAAAAATCAAATCTAAAACTCGACTTGTGGATCAAAGTACTTTGCACCTACTTTTTATTTTGGAGAAACGTGACCGCCACTGCCGCCACATGGGGGAATGCTTCTCCTTTCCTTTCTTAAAGCACAATAGCAATTCTAATTTGCATATTCTAATTTGCTAAACCACCCATCACAATACCAATACAGTTACAGGATATCTGAAAGATTGGGCTTTAGAGCGGAGATTGATGGGCCTAGAGCTTTTCTTTCCGTCCATATTCAGGCCCAAGGGTAGTGGGTTCCTCCATTTTTAGATGGCTGGAAGATTGGTGTTCTTGGTGTGGAACCTGTAAGCAGTTAAAGCTCCAAACATTTCGAAGTCAAAAAAGTCGCATCGCTCAAAATTCCCGGCTCACCAGTTCAAGCCGGAATCTGAACGGATCCTTCGTTGACGCCAATAGTCAGAAACTGAACGGCCGAGCTTCACGATCAGCTGAGCGGCGGAAAGTATCCAGTGGTACGGAGTCTGCGGCGATGCCGTCTCGCCGACCTCAGAACTCGGCGTCTCCGGCTGAAAACAAGTCGCGACGGCGTGCTGTGGTGCCCGTGGAGACTTGGTTGCCGCCTGATTGGGTGGTTGAAGATAGGGTTCGGACCTCTGGTGCGACAGCTGGATTGGTTGACAAGGTTAATCTTTAACTCTAAATTAAATCTTCTTCAATCCTGCTCTTTATCTATGGAATTGTGGTTATTAGTGAATTAGTCTGGAATTGAGCTCATTCTGGAAATAATTGCAGGAGTGATTCAGTAATATTCCTTTGTGTTAATTCTACATTTCTGTTTTTTGCCGATATTGTTAATTTTTTTTTTTTAATGCTTTAATTCCTCTGTGTGAGTTATGTTTAGGGAATAAAAATGGTGTAATGGAGCCTGTCAGAAATAGATGGATGAAGAAATGATTAGTGGTTTCGAAAATAGCAGTCTCTGTAAATAAGGTTATTAACTTATGCTTTTACAATTGGAGGTAGTTTGATTACTGATTCAATTTGGATGTTTAATAACTTGGAAATATTAAGAACCATAGATTAAGATGATAAAAGAGACTACATGCCAGATAAGTGTTAGTTTTTCCCTGATTCAATTAACAGGCTTGCTGGCCTTCTCTTCCTCTTTTCAACTAAATTTAATAAACAGGGCTGCTTGGGGAGAATAAAATTGTATGATATTGTTAATAATTGGAGGTTTAGTTTTTGGAGAACAAGGGTGTTATGGAAATAAAATATGGTCGATTTTGAAGCTAGACTATTGTTTGTATCATTAGGAAATTGTTTCATTTGTTAGTATCTTTCTCAAATTCATTAAGATACTCTTGGTAATTTCATATAAGGGAGTAAACAAGCAAGCTTTAAGCCTTGGTATTGCATCATTAGGAAATTGGTTCATTTGTTATTATTTTTCTCAAATTCATTAAGATATTCTTGGTAATTTCATATAAGGGAGTAAACAAGCAAGCTTTAAGCCTTGGTAAAAGGAGACTACGGGATTTTCATATTGGGTTTCAAATGTGGTTCATATCGTATCTCTTCACTTGGTGCAGTATTATGTTGATCCAAGCTCAGGACGTCGATTCAGGTCAAAGAAAGAAGTGCTTAAATTTCTAGAAACTGGAACCTTTCCTAATGCTAATAAAAAGAAAGGAATGGAAAATTCTGTTGCTGGCAAGGATGTGAGTTAGAAACTAAACCCCTTTTGAATTTTTGATTGAAAATGCTAGAAGTTTAACTCTCATGGTTTTTCGTTTCTTGTTTAGAATGCTAAAGTTGTTTTTTGCAGTCTCCTGAGAGCTCTACCGGCAAGAAACGTGTGAAGAAGTCTGGCACTGAGGCAAAGTCTTTGAACTTTGATTTCTTCAATGTGCCTGAGAAGGTTGACTGGGTATTAACTGATAGTTCTACAGACTGTTGGACTCCTTTTATTGGAGATGAGAAGGTGGAAGAATCTGTTACACAAGAATGGGCTGCTGCATTCACATACGTAACAGCCGGCAATACTGGTCAGGTGGCGCTTTGATAACATAATCTGCCCCCCAGTATAGAGCATGGTCTCACGGACTCATACTGACTACTAATAGGGTTCTTTTTCTTTTGGTGTCACTTTTATTTTGCTCTAGTTGCTTGACAGTTGATTTGATTAGTTCCATTGGACAAACAGCCATACTCACCAGGAAGTTAGAAACTTTTTGTTTTGGGTTGCAGGTTATAGCGTTATAGAATTCATTCACACGTAATTTCTTGATCTTTTCTTCTTTTTGGTCATATTAACTCTTGGTTATTATTCAAAACTGATACTGGGTTGTTGAAAAGGTTGTGTACACAAGATCCTTGTGTTTAATTGATTTCTTTATGGTCATGGATTGATATTATTCATTACTGGTAATTTTTTGTGGTACGCACAATATTTCTCGAGTTGATGGTCCTTTGATCACACAGATGATAGACCATATAAGTGTGCTTGATTCTCACAATGTCACCTGTAGAACTTTAATAAAACATCGGCAGGTTGTAACTAAATTTTCGTTCCAACATCTAGAAGTTCGAATTTCAAGGTCAAACTAACCCGTTGAAACATGAATATCATAGGGGGCTAATAAACGCAATTCAGTTTTTTTTTTTATTATTAATATTTAATAATTATATTGGATCTTAATTAATCGAGAATATCAAACTCTATTAGGAAGAAGTTCTTTAAGTATATGTTTTTTTATTCATAAAATTTGAATTTAAAATTTTATTTAAAGAAAATCAAATTCTTTTTACCGTATTAACAGACGTCCGTAACGCAATTCAGTTTTAGTGCAAAATAATTTCTGTTGCAAATCTCAACCTCGGTCATAGTTCCTCTCTTCCTGGACAAACGGTAATATCGTAATTTTGTGAATAACTCCGCTCACAAACAAGGTGGCACCATAAAAGCGTCAGTCAACAACTAGTTCCGGGGTCCATCTACGAGCATCCGTCGTCGTGTCGTTTCCATCGACAGCAACCAGCCAACCAGAGAGAGTTGGGAAGTTATGGGTCGCAAATTTTATTCGTCGGTGGCAACTGGAAATGCATATTCATGTTCTTTTCGTTTCTAGGCTGACCATGCAGTGACGTTGTTTTCCATACTAGTGGTTGAAATCAGTAAATTTGCTCGGATTTAGCGGTATTTTTATGCAGAATTAGCTGCGAAGTGATGAGGCACGAATGTCAAATTTTCTTTCTTAAAAAATATGTGATTATTTATTAATTGAATCGGATATCCATTAAAGTTTACTTACTTAAGAGGACCTCATATATATTATATACATTTTGTGTTTAACGTTGGTGCAGAAATGGGACAACTGAGGAGGTGAAGAAGATAAATTGTCACGACATTGAAGGAGGCTGAAATCCCTTTGGAGGATGTTGTTGATAAGTTTTGACCTTAGTTTTTAATTTTATATGTGAAATAAATTGAATTGAACTTGATGGGGCTCTGCAATATTGCTTAAAAGTTAGTTAAGCATAGGCCTTGAAGTTTTGCCAAGCACAAAGTTGCGTAATTTGTATCCTAGTTCTAGCAGTGACTTGCACAGTTGCATTCCTTCTTTGAAGTGCTATTAATGTTAAGAGTTTTGCTGTTTCATGGTTTCTGCGTGTGGCTTGCAACATTTAATATTAAAATCTTTGGTGTAAAGCATCTCTTGGTGAATAACAACAAGATCAATCATGCTGAGCACTGTCTTTTTTCTTCCTCTATACCTTCCTACAGAGATTGTTATGACTTATGAGTCCTCCATTTGTCTTTCTTCCCTCTGTGAAAAGTTTACTGCGATCCGATTTCCATGTTGCTGCACAGAACTGCTGGGTTTTACTTGAGAGGTTAAGTATGTTGGGTTTTTATCTCCGTCTCCGCAACATTAGAGCATATACAACATGGATTAATTGAAAACTTCATTTTAGTATCATGTCATCACAATTAATATTATTTTATATAAATTTATATTTTATATATTTAATTTTCAAATAAAACATGAAATATCTTCACTTCAATCCATGTTTCTATGCAAAGCTTTTTAAAAAATCGCATAACTATTATTTTATTTTATCCAACATTTTATATAATTTAAATAAAAAATTAAAATTAAAAAAAAAAAAGAAGAAGATCCAAGTGGTGAGACATTGCAAAGGGCCTGATGCGCATGTCAAACCAATCAATAATTTCGGTTTTGAATGAGTTTAAACGATGTAGTTTTGACCTTTTTTAAACTTCAAAAAATTTGACTAAACTATCTCTATCTACAAAATAAAGCTTGATTTTTGAAAATGTTCTAATGAAGAAAACATTAAAGCTTTGTTCCATTTTCTAACATAAACACCGAAGTGAACATGCGTTGGAGATGCTCTTAGAGGGAATGGTTTTGTTCTTAGCTGGCTTGCCAGATAGAAACAATGTATTATATTTATATTGTTATGGAAGTAGTTGCTGGTACGCAATGCAACTCTTGTCTCCAAGATGTCTGGTACCGTAGGCCCTGGAATTGTGGTTATAGTTGATTCTGTAGGTATGGCCTTTAGGGATATTTATTTAGCCACATGGGGTAGCTCATTTTAAAGTTTCCATTTTATGTTTTCGTGTTATTTCATACTCAAATCAACCATTATTGGCATTTTGTAGATAATGTCTCAAATTGGGCTAATGTTGTCTTGGCTTATGAACCTGTTTCGGCCATTGGCTCTGGAAAAGTTGCAACCCCTGCTCAGGCTCAAGAAGTTAGTCTGGGTTTCATCTATATTTTATTAGACAAGGACAAAGGATCTTTACCATTAAAAACAAGTTCAGTTTCACCTTACAAGCATCATATTACCCCTTTAGATAACCATAATTGTTTGATTTGACTTTTATAAAAACCCATGTTAATGGGACACTTATCTTTCTGAGACTTCCAATACGAGGAAGCTGAAAATATAATTTAAACTGCTTAACCCTCTTCATAAACTTTTAGTGCCTTGTCTTTTTGTTCAGAATTGCCAACTTGAGCCACTCAAGTTCCAACCAGTTTGAATCTGACTTCGCATCTGTTTCCTATTAACAGTAGGTTCTGTAAATGGAACAAACTGCAAAAAATTGGGTGCACAACCAGATATTGCTGGATTTTTGGTGGTTGGAGCTTCCTTAAAGGTTAGTTATTTTTCTGAACTTGTTATTTCAATTTCTTCAAATGCTAAATTTTCACTCAATTATTTAGCAGCAATGTTTTTCAGTTTTTTTTTCCTTTGTTTTCTTCCATTAACTGGAATTCATTTACATTACCAGGGCAGCCACTGTAAAGAGGGATTGAAGTTCAAAGCTAGGTAATCGTTTGGCATTTTGCCCATATTATCTTTTAACTGATAAAATAAAATAAGAGGTCCATCCATGTTAGACTATTTTGGTGTCGATTGACTGAGTTCCAACCATCAGTTTGTAGCTTTTGATAATAGAGGCAAGGCAACTTGTTACTATAATATGAGCAGGGAAAATAGCAACTAGTTAGTATTTTAGTGTCAACATTGACCCTCCGATCCTCTATTATGTTTATAAACTTAACTAATTTGTCTTCTTTTCATCTTTACTTTTTTCCATTAATCCCATTTCGTAATCAATAATGGCACCTATTTGACTTCTGCCTAACTCAACCATGTTCAAGTTCATCGAAGAAAGAAAAACTCCACCCAGTTCAAAATCTTTTGTTAATCACATTTAATTTATTACTTAATTAACAATTTGACCTACCACAAAAATTAACCGTATGTGATTTAATTGTAGTTTTTGCATGAGTATTACTCATTAATATTATAGTTATAATATTACATAAAATTATTATTTTATATTATTAAATAAGTAAATATATATTATCATGGATAAAATTATTATAAAAAACAATAAAATGATGAAAAATCAGTAATATTATAAAAACAAGTGTTTGTCAGTTAAATCTCTAAAATATAAAAAAAAAAATTATATTATTTTAATAAACTATTATTTTTTATTGTTATTAAACTTCTCAATGTTTAAAGGTTACATTAGATTCTTACAAATTTGGAGGTGATTGAATCAATCCACAAACGAGGAAGTTTTATCCATGCCTTTTTATTTATTGATAAGACTTGAATTGAAAATTTTATTTAAGGAGAATTAGCTCCTTTCATGAGAATTAACATTTGTTGATTTAGTAAACTCTTATTAAAAAGATTAAAAGAATATATTTTAAAA